TCAATTTTTTGCATGTAGCCATCCAGCTCTTGCAACACTATTTGTTGAAGAGGCTATTATTGCTCCATTTTATGCTTCTGCCCCCTTTGTCAAATATTAGATGCCCATGTAGACCTGGGCTTATTTCTGGGCTTTCTATTCTGTTCCACTGGTCTAGGGGTCTGTTCTTGTGCAAGTACCAGATTGTTTTGAGTATAGTGGCTTTGTAGTAGAGTTTGATGTCCGGTATTGTGATCCCTCCTACTTTGTGTTTCTTTCTCAAAATTGCTGTGGCTATTCGGGGTCATTTATGGTTCCATATAAATTTTTGAAATGTCTGTTCTATTTCTGTGAAATGTGTCATTGATATCTTAATAGGGATTGCGTTGAATCTATAAATTGCTTTGGGTAGTATGGACATTTTGATGATATTAATTCTTCCAATCCATGAGCACGGTATATGCTTCCATTTATTTGTGTCTTCCTTAATTTCTTTCTTCAATGTTGTATAGTTTTCTGTGTACAGGTCTTTTACGTCTTTGGTTAAATTTATGCCTCGGTACTTTATTTTTCTTCTTGCTATATCGAATGGTATTCTTTTTTCTGATTTCTTCTTCTTCTATTTCATTGCTGGTGTACAAAAATGCCTTTGATTTCTGAATGTTGACTTTGTATCCTGCTGTTTTGCCAAATTCACTGATTAGGTTGAGGAGTTTTTTGGTAGAGTCTACAGGGTTTTCTATGTACACTATCATGTCATCTGCAAACAATGATAGCTTTACTTCCTCCTTTCCTATTTGGATGCCTTTTATTTCTTTTTCTTGTCTGATAGCTGTGGCTAGGACTTCCACTATGATGTTGAAAAGAAGTGGTGAAAGTGGACATCCTTGTCGTGTTCCCGATCTTAGTGGGAAAGCTTTTAGTTTTTTCCTGTTGAGTATGATGTTGGCTGTAGATTTTTCATATATGGCCTTTATTACTTTGAGGAATGCCCCATTTATTCCCATTTTGCTGAGTGTTTTGATCATAAATGGATGCTGTACCTTATTGAATGCTTTTTCTGCGTCTATCGAGATGATCATGTGGTTTTTGTCTTTTCTTTTATTTATGTGACGTATCATGTTTACTGATTTGCATATTTGAACCATCCCTGCATGCCTGGGATGAATCCCACTTGATCGTGGTGGATAATCTTTTGAATGTATTGCTGGATGCGGTTTGCCAATATTTGGTTGAGGATTTTAGCATCTATGTTCATCAGCGAAATTAGCCTGTAGTTTTCTTTCTTTGTAGGGTCTTTATCTGATTTTGGGATTAGGGTGATGCTGGCCTCATAAAAAGAGTCTGGGAGTCTTCCCTCCTCTTGGATTTTTTGGAATAGTCTGAGAAGGACAGGGGTTAGCTCTTCCTTAAATGTTTTGTAAAATTCTCCTGTGAAACCATCTGGCCCTGGGCTTTTGTGTGCCAGGAGTTTCTTGATTACTGCTTCCATTTCCCCAGCTGTTATCGGTCTATTCAAGCTTTCTGTTTCTTCCTCCTTCAGTGTTGGAAGATTATACTTTTCTAGAAATTTGTCCATTTCATCGAGGTTTTCAAATTTCTTGGCATATAATTGTTCATAGTAGTTTCTGACAATCCTTTGTATTTCTGTGGTATCAGTTGTTATTTCTCCTCTTTCATTTCTGATATTATTAATTTGGGTCCTCTCCCTTTTTTCTTGATGAGTCTGCTTAAAGGCTTGTCGATTTTATTTATCTTTTGAAAGAACCAGCTTCTGGATTGGTTGATGCTTTGAATTGTTCTTTTCATCTCTGTCATTCAGTTCTGCTCTAATCTTGACTACTTCCTTCCTTCTCCTTGCACTGGGATTTATTTGTTGTTTCTCCAATTCTTGAAGTTGTAGTGTTAGGTCTTTTATTTGAAATGTTTCTATCTTTTTAAGGTAAGCCTGTATTGCTATGAACTTCCCTCTCAGGACCGCCTTTGCAGTGTCCCACAGGTTTTGGACTGTTGTCTGTTCATTTTCATTTGTTTCCAGAAATTTTTTGATTTCTTTTCTTATCTCATTATTGACCCATTCATTGTTTAATAATAGTGTACTGTTCAGTCTCCATGAGTTTGCAAGTTTTTGAAGTTTCTCCTTGAGGTTGATTTCCAGTTTCAAGCCCTTGTGGTCTGAGAAAAAGTTTGGTATTATTTCCATTTTCCTGAATTTGCTGAGGTTTGCTTTGTGTCCTATCATGTGGTCTATCTTTGAAAAACTGCCATGAGCATTTGAAAAGAATGTGTATTTTTCTTCTTTGGGATGTAAGGTTCTATATATGTCAGTTAAGTCTCTTTGATTCAGTGTGTTTCAGCTGCACAATATGTTTATTACTGTTTTGTTTGGAAGATCTGTCCATTTTTGACAGTGGGGTGTTGAAATCCCCTACTATTAGTGTGTTGCTGTCTATATCTTTTTTGAAGTCGTCCACCAATTTCCTTATATACTTATATATATATACTTATATACTTATAAGTATATACTTATGATGTTACTTATATACTTATATACTTATACACTTATATACTTATATACTTATATATAGGGGGCTCCTATATTGGGAGCATATAAGTTTACAATGTTTATGTCTTCTTGATAGATTCTCCCTTTATTATAAAGTGCCCCTCTGGGTCTCTCTTTATGGCCTTTGTTTTGAAATCTACTTTGTCTGATACAAGTATGGCAACCCCAGTCTTTTTCTCTTGCCCATTTGCTTGGAATATTTTTTTCCATCCCTTTACTTTCAATCTGTGTAGGTCTCTTGCTCTGAGGTGGGTCGCTTGTAGGCAGCATATGTGTGGGTCATGTTTTCTTATCCATTCAGCTACCCTGTATCACAGACTTTTTATTAGTTGAAAACATCTTATGCAAGTTGGTAACCTACAGTGCTGTCCATAACGTCTTTTTTCTTGAAATTCTGGTGAGATAGAAATAGCAAAAAAAAAAAAAAAAGTATTTTTTTATTCTTCCCAAATATTCCCTTAAGAATAGGCAGAGAAACTAGGACAGAAAAACCAAAAACTCACAGACAATATAACAAAACTAGGTGACAAGGTATTCCAGGAAGCCTAAAATACAAGTGAATGAGGACAAAGTAAAAACAATTCCAAGAGCCATGTGGTGTTAGCCTCCATGAAAGAAGAAGCAAAGGAAAGCAAGAGGAGATGCGATAGACCTAAGAATCAAGAACACTGATCTCTAAAATCTCCAAATTATTGGGAGGCAGGATAGGCCAATACAAAAAAAACAGCTGAAATTGTGAGGTCTTTTGCCACCAAGATTTCTGAGAAGTACGAAGGTCGCACCCACATTAAGGTATGAAGCTACTAATGCATTCAAGGCACTGTGAAGTCCTGAAAATAATACCTGAAGCCCCTCAGCGGGAAAGCCCCATATTTAGTAGAAACTGCTAGAAGAAGACTCCACTAATCAGAATAGAGACGGTAGAAACAAGGGAATGAAGTTGCAGATAGAGATCTCTCAAAGTATGAGGTCATATTTTTAATGCTTCATGAAACAAACAAAACATAAAGTCAAAGGCAGTGATACTAGAAAAGATATCCTGGCCCATCACTCTGTCAAAAGAATGAAGGTACTCACTTCCTGTTAAAAAAAATAAAATAAGTCACAGGGATGTAATGTACAGCATAGGGACAATAATCAATATTATTGAAATAACTTTGCACAGTGACAAATGATTACCAGCCTTGTTGTGGTGATCACATCATAAGGAATATAAATGTCAAGTAATTAGGTTGTATACCTAAAACTAATATAATATTGTATGTCAATTATATTTTAATTTAAAAAAGGGAAACCAATTTGGCTTAAAAATTAGCAGCAACAGAGAGATGTCTCGGTTAATTTCAACATAAAATGATAAAAGAGCACAGAAAATAAGACGCAGAATAAGATTCTTTTAGGCAGTGAAAGTGTGTCAGGAGGGTATGTCCACAAGCTGATAAAACTATGACTTAATATTGTAAAATAAACATAAATGAAGAAAGTCATACAAGAGCAATGTAAAACAAAAGTTAAAAACTTTTATGTGTATATAACTGCACAAAACAAATAAGAAAACTAAAGCAATGGAAGAAAATAAATACAAAGCATTCTAATTTAGGAAAACATTCCTGAAATTAAAAAAGAAAACACCTTAACTTAAAAGAAAAATTACTTGCCCTCATCCGCGCAAAAAGAGCAAGCCACTTATTTGGAAGAGAAAACCAGATGGAGGAAAGAGGGAGCAAGGAGGAAGGGGAAGAGAGAGACCTTATTTGGGTACAGATTCAAACAAATGAACAACAAATTTTAACATGTCCAAAACACTTGGAAATTTGAAACACTACCTTTTAGATAATATTAAAAAGTTATTGTAATTTATAGGTATGATAACGATATTGTAGTTATGATTTTAAAAGACTCTTTATCATTTAGATATCTTAAATATTTATGAATGAAATTATATAGTGTCTGATGTTTGCTTCAAAATAATAAAGAAGGAGGGGATGTAATTAATTGGATAGATAAAACAACATTGGTCATGAATTAATAACTTTTGAAGCTGTGTGGCAATTACATGGGATGGTTTATAGCATATTGTTTACCTGGTATATGTTTAAAATGACTCACAATACAAAGTTGAAAAATGGAAAATGTTTGTCCTAAGAGAATAAACAGTTTGAGGCTAAACAAAATAAATTATTTTATTTTATTTTAATTTATTTTTATTTTTTATGAGTAATTGAAGTTTATTCATTTTCATTTCTTTATGTAATGTTAATAGAAAATAAAACGTTTTTTAATTTTCCTAAATAAAACCAAAGATTGCTAAAGTGCCAGTTTAGGGAAATCTTTTTCCTGGTGTTATGGTAGCCTGTTGCACCCTCTTTAACATTAATTTAATTAACTTCTTTTAACATCCACTCAATTGAGTGCACGTGTCTGAGAAGCATTTCGTGTTTTTAATTGTTTTTAGGATTGTGGAAAAGGGATATTACAGTGAACGAGATGCTGCAGATGCTGTTAAACAAATCCTGGAGGCCGTTGCTGTAAGTATGAAATGACAGCTATAGTGGAACTCCTAGTAATACCTTTCTTTCTTTTATAGAATCTCATTTAAGAAGTATATATCTGTGTCATAAGGAAATTTTATGACAAAACTGTATGAGATATTTGTGAGAAAATGTTTAATAAATTTATAATTTTTCTATTGCTTACTCAAACTCTTAAAGATGTAGTCCCCTCCATGTAATGCCATAAGTTTGATAAAATATTTTTTATTCTATTATTATGAAATCAAATCAGACTTTGGTGCCTATAGCTTTCTCTCTTTCTCTCTCTCTCTCTCTCTCTCTCTCTCTCTTTCTCGTTTCTTGAGTTTGTTCCTTCATTATTTCTGTTGCTTGTTAGGAAAGTGTAGGAAAGTTGAATGTGATAAATATAGGCCTTGGAGCATAGAGATGATTAATGATTTTTTCTTTCAGGACAAGAAATGAGTGAATTAGAAGGAAAAATTCTGACAATTTAATTTTTTAAAGGAAGAAATACAATTAATATTTTTAAGTAGAATGAAATTTTGTAAGTTAATGATGGAAACGTGTACACACATTTACAAAAATATGTAATTCTTAAAAGCTTGTTTGGATTGAATTAATGAGGAAATATTAAACAGACTCCACTGGTAAAAGAAAACTTCCTATATATAAATGATGTCTAACATGTACTGAGACACTTTGGTGACTCATTTATTGAATATAAAGCCAGAACAAATGATTCTCTGAACAAACAGGGTGGGGGCTCAAGGGGAGATATTTATCAGAGTCAGTTAGAGACAAATCTATATAAAATATACTCCAAATTAAGATCTGTTCTATTTTTCAGAGGCAATTACCTAACTAAAATCATTATTCAGTGTCTTGAGGAATCAATCACAGGGATACAAGCACGTGTGCTATGAATTTTACCCACAATCAAAATAGGAAGGAGGGAGGAAAAAGGGCGGGGAGGAAGGATAGAAAGACCATGTTATTTTATCTAACTTACCCACCAATGGCAAAAGGCAACAACAACCTTCACAGTCTTTGCATAGGGCTGCTAAAAATAGATCTCTGGTTTAACCAAATCTATTATAAAGCTATCAACACCAAATTCAATTGGCTTTATAGCCCAGTCTTCCCAAATGATCTCTTCCTATAATAGTGTTTTTTTGGTCTTTTGTTCTGGTGGGGCATAAAAAGTTTGCATTGAAGGTGGGTAAAAGCTGGAGAGGATGCTATAGAATCTTACTCTAAATACACAATGCACGCAGCTCCTGATTATACGAATATTGAATATCAAGTTCATATTCTCACCATACTCAAAAGAATCACTTCATTTCATTTTTTAAAAATCAATCACAGTATATTTACCATCCCTGGTTTCCTAAGCTTGCCAAGTAAGGAATGGTTTTTAACTCTTCCATCACCTTCTCTCCTCACATTCATTCACCTTCCAGCTTCGGTTGACTCTTCCTTCACCCTGTCAGGCTATGACTGTTATTGGCATGCCTTTTAGAAAGCAAATAAACAAAAACACCTCTACTTGTTTCCAATTCCTATCTTTAATTAAAGAAGTCTAGAATCCTCTTCTGCCATTATTCTGCCATTATTGTTTTTATTTTGTCACTTCTGAATTCAATAATGCAGTCATGTCTTTATTAAATACCCACGTAAAAACTTCATTTTTCATTACTATATACTATTGATTATTCAAGTAAACTTGCTGGCAGTGACCCACTGTCACTTTACCAAAACCAGAGAGGCAGCTAGTGTTGCAGTTAAGAGTACTTTGGGAGTCAAACAGAGCTGGGTTCAGTTTCTAGATAGGCGAGCTTGGGCTCATCACTAAACACCTGTGGGCCCCACTTCCCTCATGTAAAATAGGCATAACAACCAACTAACAAGGTTATGGAAAAGACTAATGAGATACTGGAAGCCAGAGCAGTGTTCAAGAGAGAAGGGAAAGAAGATGAGCAACTTCAAACTCAGTATACTCATTTAAAGGAGTACTTGATGTTGTTAATCTCTCTCTCTCTCTCTCTCTCTCTCTCTCTCTCTTTCTCTCTCTCTCTCTCTCTATATATACACCTACTCCCCAGCTAAATAACTGAAACAAAAACAAATGATAGTAGTAGGTGCTCAATAAATATTTACTGAATAAGTAAATGGAAATATATCAAAATTGTCAGAAATAGGCACTATTCTAAATGTATTTTGTCTCTCTAGAGGATGGCATATTTACCGAGGCATTCTTGCTATAACTTGCTTCCATTCATCCGATTTTTTTCTCCTCCCTTACTATCACTAAACTATTTTCGTATCTTTTTAAACTCACCTTTTTCAATATGTTATTTTTGGTTTTCTCCATCTATCTACGTCAGCCCTTGGTTCTTTGGGCTTATTACAGTGAGCATGTTTCAATTTAGTGATGCCTTGGGTAGCTGAGTGGGAGTGCTATATTTTCATTCAGTGAATGAGAAATGGATGCTTTAAACATCAGAATTTTCCTCCTCCTGTGGTTACACCAATTAAGGAATAAAAGGTCCCCAACTGGGTTGCTCCAGAGGGATCCCCTACATAGAACAGCGGGAATGGAATGCCTATAACTCTATTCCAGGACTGCAAAGATGGATTGAGTAGTCTACTGTTATTGATAAATTTAAAACAAAAAAAAAATGTTATTTTACCTACTCATAAATCTCCAGTTTAAGAAGTAGGTTGCCATATTCAATGAAAACATTCTTCAAAAGAAGTTTTATAAAAAATCAAATTTTCTCTGATTGCTGCAACTAAGTGTTAAAAAATTCAAGTCATTTCTCTGTGTCCCAGGTATAAAGCAAGCAATTTAAAACTTGTGAGAAGTGGGTGACATTTATAAAATAATTTATTGTCAACTACATAGCTATAGATAGCTATAAAAAATAGGACAGCTGGGAATCAGTGATACATCTCACAGTTCCTCTGGATCACACACTTATAGACTGTATCTACACTGGTGTTTGAAAGCACAGAAGCAGAAAGCTTAAAGATTGCAACATTCTTGGGAAACATGCTATAGGTATAATTATACCCCTTCGGGACAAACCTTGTAATCCTTCTCTTCCTCCTCACTCATCCCAATTCTTTCTGCAAATATTTTACAAAATTTGTCTGACTGCAATCTTGTTCCTTCTGCTTTTTAGCTTTAAATAACATTTTTGAAAGCTTCTAAAATGAATTTGGAAGATGTTCCCCCCCCTTTGGGTTTGAATTCATTCAGTCAGTTTTTGAGGAAAGGTCCTTAAGCCTTCCTGAGTGTTCTATCATCTTGAGATGAATTCCATGTAGTCCCAAGTTAAAAGGTTTGGGTCAGTCTAGACATTCTGGAAGGGTCACTGTGTCCTCATCTGTCATCAAGCACAATGCCAAACCTTAAAGCCTTGCTTTTCCACTTACTTATAAAGATAACCAAGGAATATTTCACCTCCTCTGACATCATCGTTACTGTCACCTTCAGTTCTTTCCTCATCACCACTGACACCCTACTGTTGCTCTACTTCCAAAAAAAAATCACTACCCCCTCTCTTTCCCACCCTTGGTGCCACCCTCCCTCTTATTCTAGCTGTAGTTCCTTGGGTACACCTTAACTTCAAAGCCATGACCTCGGAACCTGGAGAAATTTGTGCGTGTCCTAAGTTTAATAAACTACAAGTAAATGGTTGAAAACTATGATATATGTCAGCTATCCCAGCACAGAGATCTTGGGTTAGAATTGTTTCAAAGACTATAATGATGTGGGTGAAGAATTACAAACAAAAGCATCTAATCCTTTAAAGTTATGGATACCATAACTTTATTGTATCTGCACAGTGAAGAAAAACAGTAAATGAACATGATTATAAGGATGCAGGGAGAAAATGAAATAGTACATTCTCTTTTGGTAAAATTTTAAAAAACTGTAAACTGTCCCCCCCAGCAAAAAAGAACAGATGTAGCCTTTGGAGAGTTATTTGATCAAGAATTGATGACTAGATATTGAAGAACTGCTAAAGCAAAAGCGGAACACTAAAGTAAGGTATTATGGGTGTAGGAACTTCAAGAAGCAGCTTCCCCTGAGACTGGGGAAAGGTTGAGGTTGAGATCATTAGAACCTCAAGTTTAAAGGAAGTGCTTTATAGGCTCACTGTTTGGCTGGTCCTGGTCTCTCAGTCTGAGCTCAAAGGAATTGCCCAAGAAGCCGGCACCCAAACCTTTGAGAACGCTGTTCTAGCCAGCTAGTGCTAACATCGCTGAGTGGGGGGACCCCAGGATTGGTTCTCTGAACACTGGAATAACTAAAAACTGGCATTGGCGACTGCTACTGGGTCACCCGCTACCACAGCATGAAAAGTGTTTTCTAGGGTGCATGGAGCGTGCCAGCAGAAAGACAGACTCATGAAGCAAGCAGAATGAGGCAGCCCCTTTGCGCCCTTTCAACCTCCCACTCTCCCCTAGTCCCCTCCACGGCAGAGCCAGACAGGAAGCCAGCCCAAAGTGTGGCTTCCAATTCACATCCCAGCTTCACAAAGTGAATTATAGAAGGGTGGGTTTAAAGTTTAGAGACATTAGCTTATAAATGGTACAGGAATTTATTTGAAAACAAAATTCTCAAAGCTTCTGTTTTTTATTTATAAAGTTTTCTAAAATGTTCATAGTCTTTACTAATGTGCATGAAATGGTTCTAGAGGTCAGTGAAATCAAAACAAGTGCAGTAGCATTAAAATAAATTACTATATATACTACTGAGTACTATTTTTGATAACATTTATATAGATTTAATATGTGTATATACACACACACATTATTCAACTTTACATTATTTGACACATTTAAGTCGTCTTCCACCTGACCTCTCATTCCTTATTGGCAGGACCAATCTACCTTTATAAAGATGGAAAATACCAGAACTTCTTTTCCCATTCTCCCTTGCAGCTGAGCAAGGACACATGACTTGATCCTCACCAATTATTTCTAATGGGCAAACTGCTTGTGAG